AGGATTTTGTCTAAAATTTCTTTGAAAATTAGGGTTTTGGAAATTTGTATTGCTCTGAATTACAGAGGGTCTTGGAGCACTCGCGTTAGGCGCATTTGGTCGTATTACAGATGGTCTGGGATCTTGATTAGAATTTTGATGGTAGTTAGATGTAGATGGTCTAACTTGCATAGGTTGATTCGGCCTAGGGTAATTTTGAGGCTGGGGCTGGTTAAACTGTCTTGGGGCAAAACTTGTAGACTGTTGTCTCCGTTGGCATTCATTTGCCAAGTGACCGGGACGATTACAAAAATTACAAATTTTAGGGTTTGGTCTTCGATTAACTGAATTTTGATTCGGGTTTGGGGCGCTGGCGAATTTTTGTCGTTCCAAATATGAAAGTTGTAACTCTCGTTTGATATACGAAACTGCGGTCAAGATATCCGTGGGATGTCCCGATCGCACAACAGGTCCTATTTTTGAGTCTAATCCTGTTAATAGACAATTTAATGTCATCGTTTCGATGAGGGAACTTTGAGCAGATTTTTGCTCGCGATTTAGATTTTGCCTATTCACGGCGGAATGCATTTTGGCTGCATACGTCTGCAGTCTAGATGCAAAGGTTAGGGGTGATTCGTTGGGGAGTTGGCGCATGTGTTGAAGATCCGCGATTAAAGATGTGAGATCTCTAAGATCTCCAAAGTGCGTGTCTGTCATGTCTTCCCACGTGGAAGGGTTTCGGCTGTTCACAAGTTCGGCGGCACGTCCGCGAAGTTTGTTTTTAATATGTAAAACGACGAGAAGCCGCTGCTCCTCGACGGCCATTTGATATGCCGTTCGGCACGCGTTGATGAAGGTCGATAGCATATCGGGTTTCCATCGTACTCGGGTATAATCGAAAATATTTCAGATAATCTATAAGGTTCAATGTTCGCATGAACGTTATCAGGAATTTCAGCTGGTTGGTAATCATCTGAACCGTTAGTAGACATTTTAAATGGAAAGTTGTTTCAAAAAGATTCAATAATGTCAAGGGTAAACGCAAAAATATATAAATGTAAAATAGAAAAATACGTAAAAATGGGGAAAAATACGTAAAAATCGACAATATATAGAGTAAATGCGCAAAAATGCAAATAAAAAGATGTAACAATCACACACACAGAGATAAATCGCAAAAAATAGTTAGATTAAAATTGTACGTTACCAAGGGTACATCGGGAGGCAGTCGTGTTCTCCAGGCGGCTAGTGGATCTCTTGCGATGTTTCCAGTAGTCTGTCTGCAGTTGGGTGGCTGCTGCTCGCTGTGTCCCCTGTTGTTTTCTTTCTTCTTGTTGCTTTGTAGTTTCTTACTTGTAGTTTTCTTTCTTCAATGGGTTTCTTTCTTCTTAAGGCTCGTTGGTCCTTTTCAGCTTAAAGGATAGGCATCCACCGCACCAGTTAGTATGCACGTGTTCTAATGCGTTGAAGCTATCCCACTTCTCTGACACCAATTTCTTAAATCATTAGATTTAGAAATAACTTTAAAAATTTTATTTGAGGACTGAACCTTCAGTCCATATAAAATACAAAGGTTTACAATTGAACTTATCAGTTAGCGTACATTACAGTGTCGCGCCGGGTATTGAACGACAGGATATGGGCCGCGAGGCCTATTTATACATTCAGAAAGCTGACTAAGAATTAGCAGAAAACAGCACCTGTGCCTTCACTATTCTAGCAACGGATTAGCGAGAAGTTGTTATCATATGCTGACACATCGTCTGGTGCAACATTGTATAATAACTGCGTAGTTACTATGGCCATATAACATAGATAAGAAGTTTACTGAACTTTCTACACAAATTGCAGAAATTCAAGGAAAACTTACTAAATTGAAAACTAAATACGACGTACTAGAAAAAAAAATATACTCCACAATCTAGTATCATAGTATAAGATCTCATTTGAACCAAATAATTAAATTAATTAACTAATCGTCGCTTTAGAATAGAACTAGCCAAGTCCAAAAATCAAAAGTTTTCAGGAAACGGATTATTTTGAATAGGTTCTTTATTTATACAGATATTTTAATGAAAATTTGTACACATGTTCTAAATATGTCTGTTTTTAATATACCTTAGTAAAAACGAAAAACATTGACGTTAAAGCAAAAAGTTGGACATAGATTACTTTCAATTTTAGCAAGTATACCAAGTCCACTTCTTGGACTTAGGCTTATTATATGTTTATGGACATAATATAGTCAAGTGGTTAATTTTATGACTTTTTATTCAAAACCTGCTACGATAATAACGTAATATTATCTATTACTTGGTCAACATTTTTGTGAAAACTGATTTATTGACTTTTTTCTATAAAAACACAAATTTTCATCTAATAAAATTTATTAGAATAATTTTTATTAATACAATAAGTAAGTAATAGAAATAAAAAACTTAAAACTTAAGTAGATGTAGTTTCTGAAAAGTAAAAAATATTAATTTTTTAAATAATTAAAATAACTTATGTTTTTAAGCAAATGAATAATATTTCTAACTGACCCTAAATTTCTACATAAATAAAAACATATCTTAGATTAGATATCACTATAGGAATCTTGAAATTTCGTTTTGTTGGAAAATGGTAAATTTTTAAAGTAATTATGGTAAGGCGCTATAATTGCTCCTTTATGGCAAAGAAACTGAAGATGATCAAACTTCTTTTTTTTTAAAGAAATTTCCTTTTCGTAGCATTGTTTTAGTTTTAGTGTGGCTATCTCTACATCTATTTTTTTCTTCCTTTTTCTGTGAGCTTTAATTTCTTGTAGGTAGAGTCGTAATTTACTTTAAAAAGTAAAGTGTTGGGGAAACGTGGATCAGCTTCAACTATTTTTATTTTATTTAAAAACACTCTTTCGTTTTCTTCATCTCTTTCCCAGTTAATACACATCTTTTTTTCAAGATCCTTTAAATCATATATATTTTCCTGTGCAAGCTCAACTACTTTGTAAGGATCCTTTCTTTTAGCTGTCCTTACAACCGTATACCACTGATCTGGTGCGTATATAGGTATATTTCGAGCAGCTCTTTCTATTACGCTATGTACGCAATCGCCTTCACTTTGAGTGTGGCCTTTTTCTAAGTAGGTATGTTGTATTTTTATTTGATATTTTTGCGATAAATAGCTGTACAAAGAGTACAAAAATCTGTTGCGGTTTTGACCGCTACAGTTGTCACAAAAGAAGCTAAATTCTCTTATTCCCTGTCCTATTTGGCTGATAATGTACAAACGTAAACAACTTCCAATCTCTGAGGCACCTCTGTGTCCGACTACCTCATTCCACATGTAACAATTGCACTCTTTTGTTGCTAGGTTGAACACAGTAAAGTTGTAAGTTGATAATTTTAATTTGTAATAGGACAGGCCAACATTAGATTTGGGAACTGGTAACACTTGTTGGAAGTCAAAGACAGCGCAACAAACCTCACTGCTATTCTCAGCTGCTCTTTGCTTCTCAAACTGTTTGATTTCTCTTGCCCGATTTTTATTTAGGATATGGATGCGATAATCTTCTTCCAACTCTAATTTTTCTTCTGGAGAACTATTATCGTATTTGTGGCAAATATCGCAGAGATCCTTTTTGAGCTGAACGAAGGATAGATTGAAATACCTAACGGTTTGTTTCAATTACTATATGTTCTAACAATGCTTCAGAAAAAAATTTTTCATTTTTCTTGCTAATTGTTTCTTTCCTTTCCAGTTGGTGTATTTCTTTCCTTGATTTCTCGATGACTTAATTATGTTTCTTTTCCAAGTATGTTCTCTTCTTAGCTTTTTTTTAGATATTTTTCTAGCATTATTATTCTTTTCATCTGTGTTAGAACTTGTATCAGTTTCTTTATAATTGTTTTCAAAATTAAAGTTTTTTCTCTTCTTTTTTTTGCTTTCTTGTGGATTAAAATTAGGGTCGTTTTCTTCATCATCAGTTTGGAAAGGATCCGTGTCCGATGATAAATACAGATCCTCTTCGACAATATTTTTCCGTTTGCCACATTTTTCAGGGTCCAATTGGTCAGTTTCTATTACGTCTAGAACAAAAAGTCTCAGTAAGAAATTTATATCAAAATACTTTTATATTATTTATAAGGATAACTAAATATTGTTTTTGAAAAGCCTCAAAAGCCTATTGTTTTTTTAGCCTCAAAACTGTTATCAACAAAACCGGAGCTTTAGATATTATTTTTGAGGATAGAAGTATACACACCTTGTGAAACACTCTTATTATTAGGTCTATTAAAAAATGGGCCACATACATTTATTTGACTGAAACTCAGTATGTTTGGCCAAAAATTATATCCTGAGTGAGATGTATACCATGTACTTTGAGTATAATTGCTTCGTTACTGGTAAAGTGTTTTTTTCTGGACTAGACCGAAAAGTAGTTCTTCCTATAATAGCCATTTTTTTCCTAAATTAGCCTTAAATTCACTCTACTGAACTCTTCAGCTTTGTCCACAAAAATAACATTTTCTAGAGTTGATTTTTAATATTACTAATTCTGTTTACACGTTAGTTTGCTTACCTATAATTTTTTCGAGAACACTTCTTACTTCTTCACTAGCATTTGCGTCTCCTTTATCGGCCACAATCGGTATAACTTTATTGGATTCAAGACTTAAAACTGATTTTATATTTTCGAGGTTCATACTGCAAAATGCATTATCGGTCTTGTTAAAAGCAGCCGGTTCCTTAGAGAGTAAATAACCAGGCGGCATAAGATTTGCTGTATTCATCAAATATTGGGCGTCTATTTTTTCTGGGCTTGAAGATACTTTTAGTTTGTCATGGTTGGTATCTATAAAAAAATAAAGGAAAACATTCAGTACAGAGTTTTATAAGTGTAAATTTTATTATTTGTTTTTTATTTATACAATTAAAAAAATAAATAGAATTTATCCTGAACCAGTAGCTAAAAATGTATTTCCAATGTTAATGTGTTACTTAAGAATAATTTTATAGCTAGAAAGGCACTACTCACCATCACAGTGCTTGGCCAGAAGATCAAATATTTTTTTTCTTCTAGAACTCATATTTAATTTGTTTACGTTGCGCAAACTGGATCACTTTATAGGCCCCATACACCTGCGAACAAATTGCGCAAACGGATGTTGCACAAAAAGTGGTTGTACAAACAAGGTGATCCACATACTATGCAATTTACTATGCAATTTTATGCAAACTTCAGTTGTGAGTTGTACTCATGCACCTCAACATGCCGTCTAATGACGCAGCCTGTCTAGCTATAATAATTGCTGCAGCCTGTGATGTTGGCGTTAATAAAAGAAAACGGAAGCAGAGAGTTTGGATGAAAGAGTGGTTAAAGAAAAGATCTCTTTTTAGTCACGCAAATCTCCTTAAAGAACTTCAAGTGAGTTCACCTTTAGATTATAAAAATTATTTACGAATGAATTCCACTACTTTCGGCGAATTATTGGCTCTGGTAACACCATATATACAAAAAAAAGACACAATATTGAGAGAGGCGATATCTCCCAAGCAGAGATTGTTTGCTACTCTAAGATATCTTGCATCTGGACTAACATTTGAGGGTTTAAAATTTGAAACTGCGATTGCTGCTCAAACCCTTGGACATATTATCATCGAGACCTGTGAAGCAATCATAAAGGTTTTGAAGAAATATTTAAAGGTAATAAATGTATTACTTTATTATTCTTTTTAACATAAACCAGAAACTAAGATTAACATACTATATACTACTACTATATCCTTAGTTATATTGTGGGTCAGTGAGTAGTTCTCCTATTACCGTATATTGTAGTTGTGTAGTATCATCAGTTACCTGTACTGGGTTTGGAGACGGGAATGATGGGACAGAATTTGAATGTGACGAGAATGATTGGCAGGATGAAATTTCAAGGGGGGTACGTACAGGGGGTTCATTTATAACAACTGAATGTCTATGTAAAGTTCCCAAGCGCCCTTCATATAAAACATCATTTATGGCTTTTTTAGCATAAATTTTCTGATCTGATGAGAGCTTCATGAACTCTAATGCCCAACTTTTTGCCAAAATCTCCACTTCCTTGTTAGAAGTGCGAAGATGTTCGCAAGCCATCTTCAATAGTTCATTCCGTGATTGTGATTCCTCAAATTCAGTTGATCCTTTTCGTTTGTTAACTCTACGTTGTATAGGAGTAACCGGTACATCCCTTTCTGAAAGTGTATATGTATCTGCGGCTGTATCTGTTTCTGGTGGTGTGGGCGATTCTGGAGCTGCATGCCTTCCTGGAGGTGTATTGGGTCCTTGACTACTTCTGTCTTGGGAAGAATCCTGCAACAAATAAAAGGGATATAGCATGCAGACATTTAAAATTACAAAAATAATTATAAAAATAATACCAACAAATAACACCATGCAAACTTCTAAAAATACAATTATAAAAATAACACCATGTTTTCTTTTCAGCTACCACAAAGTGAAAATGAATGGAGAAATGAGGCTGAAGCTTTTGCGAGGAAGTGGAATTTTCCTCATTGTCTTGGGGCGATAGACGACAAACATGTGAAAATATTTAAGCCACCTGGAACTGGTTCATATTACTTTAATTACAAACATTCGTTTAGCATTGTTCTAATGGGAATCGTAAATGCAAATTATGAATTTTTGATGGTTGATGTGGGAGCAAATGGACGAGTCTCTGATGGAGGGGTTTTTTCCAATACAGCATTCTGTAAAAAACTTGTAGAAAAAGATCTGTGCATTCCTGAACCAGAAAATTTAACATCGACTAATATCAAATTGCCCTATGTTTTTGTAGGGGATGATGCTTTTCCACTTATGGAAAATTTGATGAAACCATTTAGCAAGAAAACCCTCAGCAACGAAGAAATGATTTATAACTACAGGGTGTCACGTAGCCGCCGAATCATTGAAAATGCGTTCGGGATACTAGCTTCTCGCTTCAGAATTCTGTTAAATGAAATTAACCTATGTCCAGAAAAAGCTGTCATCATAGTACTGACATGCTGCCACTTGCACAACTTCTTGCGACATTACAAAGTAGAGTCGTATTATCAAGGTGGCATAGATGTTGAAAACATAAATAGTGGAGAGGTTGCAAATGCTGATTGGAGAGCAGACCCTACATTATTACAACTACAGGCACTCCGAGGAAGAAACACTACCACTGTAGCAAAACAAATAAGAGCACAGTTTTGTAATTATTTTAATACTGTTGGAGCTGTTCCATGGCAGAACAAGATATTTCAGCAATAATTGTAAATTAATAATGTTAACTAGTTTTTTACCGATACTCCTATGAATACAGAATTAAAATATAAATTGTTTACTTACTGCGTCTTCATTATCAATCTCATAAAATGGGTCATTCATGGTAGAGGTTCCAGGTACTTGGGTTTCTTGATCCCTCAAGAAATCTAATTCCTTGAAGTACCATAAGCTTGGTTCGTAAATACTTTCAGTTCCTGTCTCTGATTTATAACATGCAATTACTTTTTTTAATTCTCTCCGATAGGCACTGCGTAAAACATTAATTTTCTTCCGCACCATCTCTCTGTCGGCATTAGGTTCGACTTCTTTAAGTTTTTCAACTAGTTTTTCATAAGCCAAATTCTTCATATTTCTATTCTTGTAGAGATCGCTCTTCACCTTCCATACTGCCGGTAACTGACGATATAAATCAATAAAATCGCTTAAAAATTCTTTGTTATTTCCAAAACAACCGCTCATTTTCAAAACTAAGCACGTGGAACTCGGACAAACAATCAGTTATTGCACAACGTGTCTGCAGAATAGCCCATATACTCTGCAACTAGTTGCGCAACGCCGCTGGTTGTGCAATAAAAATCAAACTATTTTGAATTTCTGCAACCCGTTGCGCAGCACGTCAAACAACCCCATACACTACACAATTGTTGGTACAACAGGCTCCGTTGCGCAATTTGTTCGCAGGTGTATGGGGCCTATTACACTAAGAACTGCTTTAAACTAAGGTACTCTGCGTTATTCCTGTACGGTCGCGCTTGAAATACCAAGATTTCTAACAAGTCGAAACCAGTACAGTGCAGAACTAGTTTATCTCCAGTAAAAGGTGTGAGGGTTTATTAACACGTTCGCTGCCATACAAACTTCAAAAAACTCTTTGGGAGGCCAATATATTTTTTCGAAAAATCATAAAGCCAAAAGTGTTTTTAGCGATCTCTTATATATTATGTTTGTTTGTTCTGTGTATTGAGTGTCAAAACTACAGTGACTCAAGGGCTGAGTCATCGGCCTCTCAGATGCATTTCTACAAGTAGAGGCCGCATGACTCAACATTTGAGCCATACAATGAATTCAGTCGAATTTTCCAAACACAAAAGGAAGCTAGGTAAATATTTAAAACAATGTATTTCTAAAAGGGTACAAATTCAACATCAATAAAACAAAGAACATAAATGGCAAAGTTAAAATTAAGAAAATAGAAGAATAGGTGATATTTTTCAAAAAAAAACACGTCAAAGTTTTTTTTCTAAAACGGTACAAGTCAAACATCAGTAAAACCGATACCTAAGTATAAACTAAAAAAACGTAAAATAAAAATACAAACAAGGAAACTAAACTCTGGTTTTTCCTTTTTGCGTAAAACCGGCTTATCGCATGTTAAAGGTTATTAAAAATGCAAAGCATGGGCGTCGGGCATTAGTTCAATACAGTAACAAAAATGTATTTCTTTATTTTACATCTTAACAGTTTTATAAAAATTACAATAGAAACAAAAAACGATTAACAAGAATAAATAAAATCTAATATTTGGTCATATATCCCTGTTTTTCTATTACTTGAGCCATTCTATTCGGAATTGACTGAATTATATTTGATACAATATTTGGATCAAGCTCTTCCTAGCACGCATGTATTATTTCCCATAAATCTTCTGAATTTTGTGGCCTAAAATTTCGATTATATATTTTTTTTACGATTACACCCCAAATATTTTCGATTGGATTGATATCGGGACTATAAGCGACCCAAGGCAGCACTTCCTCATTATGGGTTTGAAACCAGTGGGTTACAGCATTAGCCGTATGAACTGGACAATTATCTTGTTGAAATATGAACGTATTATTGGGATATATTTGCTCAGCACTTGGTAACAATATGTTTTCTAAAATGTTAATGTAATTTTCGGCATTAAATCTTCCCTCTATTCGCCAGCAAACACCAGGTCCATGAACACTTATCCAGCCCCATACATTTACAGAGAAACGCCCAGGTCTAAAATTGAGGGGGTTAGTATATCGCTCTTCAAACCTGGTATTGTTTGGACGGTAAACACGAATTTGGCCGTTATAAGTCGACTGGAACGTCTTTTCATCAGTAAAAATGACCCTGTTCCAAAATTGAGGATTGCGGTATATATAATTTAAAGCAAAAATAATCCTTGATTGTCGCCGTTCTTCGTTAAGAAACATTTTTTTCGCAGCAGGGTGACATTTTAGTTCAGATTTCATTACTCTCCTGCTGGCGGTAGGTTGGGAGGCAGGAAATGCTGTATCAATAACAGCATCCCTTACAGTTGCAAATGGAATATTTATTAAATATCCCAAAAAAGCAGCATCCTTGGTTGGTAAGTTTGGGACGACCTGAACCTATTTTCCTCTTTAGGGAATCTTCCTGTTCCCAGCGTTGCTTAATTTTCAATATGGTTTTTTTATTTCTATTATACAACTGTGCTACAGCACGGATTGACCATCCTTCTTCGATTCTTGATACAATTTGAGCATTTTCAACTTCAGACAACTGACGAGGCATTTTTATTTTCTTCTGTCAAAGTTTATCAAACGTTACCACCACGCATTTTCGAAATGAATTACACCGACGTCAATGCTTTGCATTTTTGACAATCTACGACGTGTGATAACCTCCAATAAACATCATTTAGACAAGCCGGTTTTACGCAAATAAGGTTAAGGTTTCCTCTCATTCTAATTCGTGTACGCTTTTTCTATGAATAGAACTGTACTTATTGTACATAATGATCGCTTTGGGTTTTTGCTTACTTTCTCCTCGTCTATTTTCCTCTTGCACCATTTCACCATCGAATTCTGTAGAAATGAATAACACGTCTCTCTTGTCACGCCATTTCCCAACTGTAACTCCACCGGAGTATTTGCTAACAGTTTCACCTCTAGCTAATCTCTTAGAAGTAATTTCAGATGGATTGCCCTTCCTGTTCGCTCTTAGTGTTCCAGTCACGTAGGTTCCCTTCAAAAGTAGTTCCTTGGCCAAAGCAATACTATTGTAATAGTTGTCCATATTTATACAATGAGTGTCCTCTTTCAAGATATTTTTTTACGAGACAAAACACAACATTTGCAGAATGTCCCAATTCCCCCTGCATGTCCTTTTCGCCCCCAGTATATCGTCGCTTCAGAGCAGAAGTAGCTTAACTGCAAAAATCGAATTTTACAGGAGAGAGTTTTTTTCACTCCACATTCAGGTTTTTGACACAATCGTTGTACAAATTATATTATTGGCACTCAGGGTCATGCTTTTTTTTAAAGTTTAGTCAATCAGAATGAATTTTGCATATTTTGGAAAAATCTGGATATAGCATAGTTTATAATATTGTACGTGTGAGTTAGGATAGTTCTACGAGAAGATACGATATGCAGGGATAATCGATAAGCTACATAGGATAGTTCTGTAGTGCTATTTTTTTTTTAAGTAAAACCAAAACACATTTTTGTCAAATTATTTATTTTAATTTTACTGGGGGGTAATGAAAAGGAAATATTTCACAAAAAATACATTAAATAAATAACGTCACAAACAAGTGATTGAACTTATACATAATACATGTATAGATAATAAAATCATAAAAATAAAAACATTCTTTTAAGGTGTGTTATTTAAAACTAAAATTAGTTAGTTTGAAAACAAAAGAAAGGCAAACTTTGTCAAAAAGCAGGCAAACAACCGAACAATTAATTCAAATCAGAATCCGAATCTATATTTTCTTGTGCAGCATAAGGAAGGTTCTAAAAGAATTCGTGATATTGTGGCAATATGGCTTTTTTCTGACATAAAAAATGCAAATGATCAAATTTTTTCTTTGATAGCGGAAGCTTTCTTAAATAGCACTTCTTTAACTCGGTATTTTTTATATCTACATTATCTTTTTTGCGTCGGCCTTTTTCAACCAGATTAATAATTTTGAAAGGTTCCGATTCATCGTAGCTGTATTTAAAAAATATTTTATTCGGAAACTGGACGTTAGAAACAACAATTCGAAATTTATTAAGATGAATCTTTTCATTTGTTTCGTCTTTCTACCAGTTAATAGTAGTCGATTGTTGCAAAAGCTTCAAATCGAATACGTCATTCTGAAAAATTTCTACAACTTCGTAAGGTTGACGTCTCTTCGCAGTTCACACTAACGTGTACCATTGTTCAGGGGTATAAATAGGGATATGTCTAGCAGCTTTTTCAATAACACTGTGCATTGAGAGTCGCCTTCTGTTTGTGTATGTCCTCGTTCCATAAACTGATGGCGAATAGTAATTTGGTATTTCTGTGTAAGGTAGTTATATAAACTGAACAAATATTTATTTCTATTTTGCCCTGAGCAATTGTCAGAGAAAAATGAAAATTCTTTCACTCCTTTTTGAACATGCTCTTTAACAAAAAGAATGAGGCAACTTCCAATTTCGCATGAACCTCTTTTCGCTATGCATTCATATCACATGAAACACACTCCGTTATTATTAGCTAAGTTGTAAATTGAAAAGTTATAGGTTTGAAGTTTCAACTTGTAATATGCCAATCCAACCTCAGATTTAGGTACAGGAAGAGCTTTCTGGAGGTCAAATGCTGCTGCTACGAAACTCGAACTTTCAGTAGCTTTTTTCTTATCCCTATCTTTAGATTCTCTTGCTTTTAACCTATTTTCTTTATGTAACCGGTATTCTTCTTCAATTTTCAGTTTTTCTTCTTCCGATGAGTTCTCATATGCATGGCAAATGTCGCAAAGATCTTTTTCAGGCTTAAAAAAGGATATATTGAATTCCTCTACAAAAATAGTGCGATACATACTTTCTGTGGCGGTATCTTTGATGTTGTTATCATTACAATATTCCTCATATAAAACATACATCTTGGATATGTTAAGAGTTGGTGGTAGATAAAGACGGGAGGTGTTTATTCTACAGTAATGGCTTTCGATAAAATCGAATGAATTGATATGATTCCTTACTGTTTGCTTCACAGTATCATCAATTTGGGAGTTTTTGCAAACTTTTCCCCTTTTGTCGGCACTAATAACGCCTGTAGATCCCAATTTTTTGATCACGGTCTTCACCACTTGAGCACTTATACAAAGTGTGTTTAGAAAGAAAATTTGACAAACGGAAATTCTTTCTTCTCGTACCGTCAAGTAATAGAAATTGGTAAAAGTACGTCTGCTTCTCTCTTGCATGATTGGTGGTTCGTCAGAATCATCCGAATTTAAAGATTGTTTTTGTAACCTAGTTCTACCTTTAACCTTTACTACAACATGACGTGCTATAAAGTCCCTTTGCCGGTTAATATCAGCTAAACTCCAGTAGTCTTTGAAGATTTCTTCTCGTTCGGTATGACCGATTCTCTCTACACATTTCTTTTTGCAATTTTTACATGGATCTTTCAACTTTCTTGCACTGTGAGTATTTCCTTTCCAGTCTAGGTATTCTTTGCCTGAATTCCTTGCCAATTTTATTTCATTCCTTTTCCATGTAGTCACATTTCTTGTTCTTTTCCTCGTTTTTTCTTTCTGTGTAAATCGTTTAATGCATTTCCGTTTCTGTTTTCTAATTGGTAGATTTTGTACACTATCGTCTTCGATTTCAGAATCTTCTTCGTAATCTGAGTCTTCATCCGTCTCAAATGGATCATTTTCAGATGACGAAAGGTAAATATCCTCTTCTACATTATTTTTATCATAAGTGTTCATTTGGTTGCTAGAGGTACCATAAAAAGAACAAGATGGTTGATTGTCTACTTCATCCAGTCCAGATACCGAAGCCAACATGTTTTTATTGGGTGTATCATTGGTGAAAATTTGTTTCCACATATCGTCGGATGGCACGTCATGAATGGTGGGATTGAAAACATTGGTTTCTTTCGGAACTAAGAAATCAGGAGGATTTAGATGAGCAGATTTCATCAAATGGCATCTATAGTCTCGACAATGAAGTTTGCTGTTTTGCTGGTTTTTATCTGAAAAACAAAGTGAAGAGAATTGTCATTTTCGTATTATGAATTTAGTGTAAAGTCTAAATATATTATATCATTGGCATGTGAACGAAGACTTTTAGACAAAGCACCTTAAAGTAACACATCAATGTCACTTTGTAACTTTAAAATCACATTATGAAAACGACCTCAATCAATTTCATAATATGACCTTAAAATTTAAAATTAACGTCCTAAGCAAACTGTCAATCAAAACACTTAAGAATATGTTATTTTGAAAGTCATATATAATTCATTTTGAAGTTAACGGCCGTTAAGGTTCTAAAGTGACATTCGCATTTAGAGCTTCTTTTCGAGACTACTTTGCGTATGGAAAAGTCTTCCTTATAAAACCAAAATAGAAAAAAAATGTTTCAAATTTTTTGTTCTAATTAGGTTTTTCACACATTTTGAGACATTTAAACTCGATTTAGAGAATACAACTTTTTTGATTTTTTTTCGATACAACATCTACTTCCGTGATGTAAAAGTAATAATTAAAAGCCTTTGACTTACCTTCACTCATATCTGCTGATTCAAAATTAGGGCATCCATAATATTCATAATGCTTGTTTTTGTCCATTACTGATCCAGCATCTTGCTTCACTGCTACTCCAATATCGTCTAAGAAAAATTAAAAATGTCTAATCGTCTACCTATGGATTTTTCACAAAATATAGCTCACCTGAATATCTGCACTTATTTTCTTGTCTTGCGAGTCTCATGATTCTTGAACTTCTTGTAGTGGAAAACATCTTTCTAGTTAACACAATGACCACCGTCCGTTTTGTATGAAAGCATCCACTGTACTGATCAAAAAAGCCAATGTGTAAAACGAAATATCCTAACTATGCATTTTGCAAGTCAGGACAAGTCTATTTCCCAAACGCGGTAATTTTGTACCATATGCGTAAACAGAACTAACCTAACTCCACGCTATGCTGGATATCGACTACTTTTGTTAAGGTCTGAACTACCTTATCTCCAAAAGTTGTGGTAATTAGGTATATTCTGTATTACTCATTGTTGCAGAACCAACCTATCTCCAATTAAAGTTCCAATTAGGCTTATGGTTTAAGATAGGATGGTTCTGCATTGAAATTAAAATTTAATTTTCAGATAGGATATTTTTTGACTCAACTGTTACTGTCCAAGTAATATAGATGGACATAGGTTACTTCTGTGTTGAATCCGTGGTGTTTCAAACTATCCTAAGTCATTAAAATCGAAAAATAACAAGTTTTGGAGTTAGGCTACTTCTGCTCTGAAGCGACGATATATCCTCACTTTCAACACGAGACCATTAGGTTCCGATAAAATATATAGTTTCACACCAAATTTGTGCTTTTTATTTTTAATATATTGCCGGAAAAGCAATCTACCCCTCCACAAGACCATCGACTCATCTAGAGACAATTGTTTATTGGGGTAGTAAATCTCATCCATTCTTTGGTTGAAAAAGTCTTGTAGCCATCTAATCTTCGATAAACGGTCATCATATCCTGGTTCTCCTCTTTCAGGATTTTTGGAAAAATGTAGACACCTTAGAATCGTCAAAAAACGATTTCGGCTCATATGGTTCCTAAAACATTCGAGATTATACAACATGTGAGTTTTCCAATAGTCCTGCATCCGGTTTATTTGTATATTGCCCATATGAAGCCATAACCCTATGAAAACTTTTAATGTTGAAACTGTTAAAGGCTTCCAGTCGGTTATTCTTGACTTTTCCCTCGTGTTTTTGCTCAAAAACAATTGCTCGGCGTATCTGTTCGTTTCAACAATGATATTTTCGAGAAATGTGTTCGTAAGAAATAGATTGAAAAAGTCAATAGGGTCGTCAGATGCTAAGTTTTCTTTTAGTCCAGGGTTGCCGGAAAATGGAAAGTCCTGGGTTATCGGCCCACATTGGAACCTCAGAGCGATCACCTTCTTCGGAGGTTTCAGGGATCATAGCATGCTCCCAAATCTCCTCTTGTTCGCTTGAACTCGTATAATCAGGCTCATACTCGCTGCCACTGTCTACAAAAGGTTTCTCGTCACTTTCTGATAAGTATGCTAATGCCTCTAACTCCGAATCACTAAACAATTTCCCTCTTTTAGGATCCTCCAACTTTATCTTCGGTCTAGATGGCCGTGGAATTTCGCTGTCCATTGTACACTGAAGGCAAAAACGTAACCTCAAACCAATCGCGCAAAAACACGTGTTTATAAGTCAATAAAAGGCCGGCGTAATATGCTGCTACCCTTTCAGTAACCGACGCACTACTGGCTGATGCAATAACCTATCGCACATGACCCAACATTTGAGTCATCGGCTTCTGCCGGGAAGCTGCTGTGACTCAACAGTTGAGTCATCGGCAGTGAACGTGTTAAAATTATAGATCAGAATAAGCCTAAGTCCACATTTTATTGGACATAAAATTTTGTTTTAAAGTAGAACTAGCTTAACCCTGCTGTCCTGTTCGAATCTTACAACCTAATGTAGTGTTCGGGTCAATATGACCCGAGTGTGAATCATACATTTCAAGTAAAATAATATTGTTTAAACCAAAATGTATTTATTAATAAATGCATGTTTTACAAAATAACATTGTATTTAAACCAGTAAGAAAAAAAATCTCATAAAAAATGCAAATGAATACAAAAATGTTATTTTAGTTTTGTTTACAATTAGGACAATAACAACTGCTATGCATTTTACAAATATGTTTACGGCAAATACAACATAAAATATTAGTTTTATTGTCATTTCTTGATGGGCAAAATTTACAGCGTGCCCTTTTAGTAGCCGTACCCGTGACACTTGTACATGGTATATCAGACTGTGCTTCTGATCCTGATCCACTAGCTTGTGATCTTCTTACCAGACGACGTGACTCTTCACCTCTTGGCAAAAATTTTCTGGAAGTAATAAGCGGTGTTACTAATGCTTTTCCTAGTTCTTCCAAGTATAGTCTCCTTTTGGTGAGCTTATTTTCATTCCAGTTCGGATTTATTGACGTCCATAAAACGAATGCGTTATATGCGGAAGTATCTATCATATTATAAAAAATTACCATTGGCCAGCGATTAGTTTTTTTTTTGCATGTATATGTTCCAATAAGTTGATCGAGAGTATCAACTGCTCCCTTTGTTGCATTATAATCCAAAATTACTTGAGGCTTTTTATCAGCTCTGTCACTAATAGCTTTATCATGGTGTAACGTGCTCATAAGAACAACATTTTTATTCTTTTTTGGAATATAATTGACAATTGTAGTATCTTGCGTGAAGTTAAAAGTGGAACTGTGAACTTCTTTATTTGTTTGTTGTGGAAGTTCTGGTTTGTTCCTCCGTATAGTACCAATCATGGTAATTTTTCGCTTTAGAAGAAATTATCCTAAGTTGTATGACGTAAAAAAGTTATCACAAGTAACATTATGGCCTCTCAAATCAGAGGTAAGATCACATACTACCCTCATTCCTTGATTTTTTTCGGAAGCAGAGCCCGCTTCTTTCCCTGTATATATTTGCAGTTTGTATGCATATGAGGTTTTGCTATCACATAAGGTCCATATTTTCACGCCATACTTTGCTGGTTTGCTAGGAATGTACTGTTTGAAAGGACATCGTCCTCTAAACGAAACAAGTTGTTCATCAACAGTAACATTTTCATGGAGATTGAATAATTTAGGTATGTTTTCAACCCACTTTTCCCAGACATCTCGAATGGCGACAAGTTTGTCAGAACGTCTTCTTTCCGGTCGGGTGGTCTTATTGTCAAAGCGGATTACTCGGGATATTTTTGTGAATAACTCAAGAGACATTGTTGCCCGAAATATACTGCGACCAGTTTCTTCATTCCAAAGACTTTTAGTTGCTTCTCCGTAAGATTTATATACACCGACTAATATCAGAAGACCAATATAAGCTTGAAAAGTCATTTTGTCTAGATCTTTCCAACATGAACCAAAAACCCGAAATCCTTCTATGTTAGTCATATTTATAATTTGTGTTTCAACAACGTCAGAAAACACTATGTCAAATGAGCTTTTTACATCGAAAATTCGTGCACATGCGTATCTTGTAACTCCTGTAGAACTTTTTGTAACATTTGCAGATGAAAAACGACCGGATTGTGACGGAGAATCCATCGGCCATTGTATTTTACCATCTTTTGAGCCCACTGTTGCATTAGATGTTGTAGGATTATTCGCGAGCACTGGGATCAAATCATCTTCAGAACTTTCTTCTTCACTCTCGTTGCTTGTACGGTCTTCTAATTCTGATACACTCCCATCACTCTCGGAAACTTCCACCAGCGCAAGCAATTCACTATCAGTCAATGGGCGCGCCATTCTCGATATCAAACTATTTATCTACTGATCAAATGAACGCAAAACTACACAGGCCGACAGTGTCCACACTATTCGTTTATTTTCGTGTAAACTCGGCGACGCCCGATATAAATGTTAGGCTTCGTTCACACTACCGCCGCGCGTAATTTGGCTTGCAGATCAAGCGGGTCATATTGACCCGAGCAGTAAAAACGTAACAATTTAATTTTTCCTTTTTGAACAAAGAGTGATTGTTTTTATTCTTTGGCCAAATAAATGACTCACAGTTAGTAACAAAGTCACCAAACGCCATTATGATTGTGAAGAATGGACATTTTGAAAAATGAAATAAGTTTCTTCTTTGGGTCAAATAGACCCGAACAGGACAGCAGGGTTAAGTCCACACAATTCACAAGTATAGGTAATATGTCCCAACAAAGGATACTTCTGGATTAAAAATTACTTTGCTTCAGGACATAGGCTTATTTTTAATTTAATGAGTACGTGAAAAATATAAACGTTCGGACTTAGATTAGTACTGCACTTGATCGGCGACACCTTACTGCAACATATGGTCTAAAATCTCAATTTTGACAAAAAGGGACATAGGCTAGTTCTGATCTAAAGCGACGTAATAGTCACCATGAAAGCTACTCATTCTACAGAAAAAAATCAGCTTGCGAACGAACTGCACGCGCCTACTCGAAAGAATTTCAAAACCCCAAGAACTATAATCCGAGGTTTAGATGATTTATGGCAAACAGATCTCATTGAGATGCAACCTTATGCAAAAATAAATCGAGGGTATCGTTATATTCTGATAGTTATTGATTGTTTCTCTAAACTTGCATGGGCTAGACCACTTAAGAATAAAACTAGAGAAGAAGTAAGTAAAGCATTTGAAGATATTCTAAAAAACAACGGAAATAGAGTACCTAAAAATATACAAAGTGATCATGGAAAAGAATACTATAACAAACATTTTAGTTTTATTTAAAAAAAATATAATATAAACCATTACAGCACCTTCAGTACAAAAAAGGCAGCCATTGCAGAACGATTAATACGAACTTTGAAAGAAAAAATATTTAAGCATTTTACTCTGAATGACTTAGTTGATATGTATAAAAATCATAAGCATTGTACAATTGGTTTAAGACCATCTGAAGTTAATAAAACTAATGAAAATGATATTTTGAATAATGTGTACAGTCCTATCAAAATGACTGGAAATAGAAAATTGAAAGTTGGAAACTTGGTTAGAATCTCCAAAGAAAAGCATTTGTTTAATAAAGGATATTTACCGAATTGGACAACTGAGGTATTTAAAATATCGAAAGTTCAAATAACTAATCCTACAACGTATTTGTTGGAAGATTTACGTGGAAATCCGATGTCAGGGGGATTTTACAACGAAGAATTACAAAAAACATCCATTCCAGATGTTTATTTCGTTGAGAAGGTATTAAGAAAGAAAAATAATGAAGTTTCCGTGAAATGGCTTGGCTTTGATAGTTCTCACAACAGTTGGATAAACATCTAATCGTTTATAATATTTAAAAATTGTGGTGGGGAGATAGACTGATATAGTGTTATCGTTTGCTCATCCTGTCAATATTCATAAAGATGTTCTGCCGTAAAGACATAGAAGGTGAAGAATCAGATAGTGAAAACTATCAATCAGAGATTGAGAATTACTGCAAGGATATTGACACATACTATTGGGCTGAAATAGACAAAATAAACAAGGAGTGCAAACAACAAATTCTTCAAGAAAAAACACCTTACTCATTGGGTACAGATTATGTAACTGCTGATTGTAGTCCGTTAAGGAACCATTGTGGTTTGAGTATTGCAAGGTGTTTCGAACCATCAGTAAAATTGATGAAAAAATCAGAAATAGGAACACAAATCACATTCAGTGCTGACGAATGGGAGTTTTTTATTTTCACCCTACGATGCCTGGACATCAGCTATTTATCGGACAATGAAGTACCGTGCATTACAACATCCAAAGAAGAGGACATTAAACATATTGAATGTGATGGAGATGTGAAAATATGCAAAACGTCAACTTTAGATTGTAAAATTTTGAAAGTTTACACAAGTAGGGCCTTGCTTTTATCTATCACATAATGTGATAAATAATATACTCCATATTGATGAAAATATTATCAAATATATACGTAAAGTAGGTGCTTTATATAAAATGAACTTCCAACAATTTTATCAAAACTTTTTAGAGATTGTTTGTAACGTAGTACTACAAACCCAAGAAAGAAATTATGAACTTGTAATAAGATCCTTTTGTGACGTATGTAATGAAAACATAGAAAGTTATTGTGTACGAGAATGCTTACTGTACTATAAAAATAAGCTCTTAAGTGATTTAGCTAGTAAATTATCAATGTATAAAGCAGCTTTGATTAAATAAACGGTTGTAAGAAAATTTTATTTGTGTTTTTATTGTAGCGAGGGATAAGGAAACATAGACTTATTGCAAAACGTATTTTTTATTTTCGTTACATATAATATGATACAATCAGTGTTTAGCAGTATATGCAAGCACATTTACATACATTCTTAAAAGTCAATGTCAGAATCATCGTTACCAGAATCTACGAATCTCGTAAAATATGGGAGATTATAATCATGATCGATGTTATGTAGGTCATTTACACAAGTATATTCTTCTTTCAAACCAAACAATAGTTCCAAAAAGTTATTTTGGCAGTATATATATTTAGATCTGTATATGCTATGAATTTCTTGAACCTGTAATACCATATGATAATGGTCACGAAGAACAATGGCTCTTTTTTGATTCTTGAAACCTAATACTATATACCATAAATGCGTTACAGCAACCACGACATAATCTTAAATTATATTCTGGAATGTAACAAATGTCAACTCAAACACAATACTTTGGAAAAATATGTGTATTCAAAATTTGTGTTGGTAGAGAAGTGGACTGTATTTTTTTTGGCTTTTATTTTACTTTTACAATCCTAGTTGGTATTATTTGAATAACAATAATTGTTTTGTACGGCGTCGTGTCTGTGTGTCGACGGCTCGATCATGTCATCTTGCAATATGGCGGCCACCCCTTCCTCTTCTCCTCGTCGACGTTGCCACGTTGTGGCTGTTTTACGTGATCTGGCGGAAAGGAGCTCAACAATTTGCTTGATATAAAAGTGCCTTCCTATGAGTTTCACTAGGTATTTCCCTTGTATGCTCCACTGATTGTATAATTAAAATATCTGATAAAGGATTATCGTGTGCCCCAAGCAATATTTTTGACCATTTAAAATTCGCATAACATTTGATGACTTCCACAGTTAGTGTCCATGGTAATGGTGACACATTAGTAAAAGTAACGATTGAATTTACACATTCTGAAACTTTTTTAAGTGATAATTCTTTAACCCTAGGTTAGTCGCGTCTCTTATCCGCACATTATTAGTCGCGTGGGTGACAAGTGTCAATCATCCTAAAAAACAACCTATACAAGATTTTTCCAAAAATATTTATTAAATAAGAAACAAGATATTCTCTATAAGCCTTGACATAAAATGTAGGTTGATTTTAACAACAAAATATATTTAAAACATAAGATAACTGTGAATTACTACTTCTGTCGTTGTTTTCATAACATCGCACACAAATTTCTTTTAGGTGGTCATTGCAAGCAAAATTTTGACACTGCGCGCAAAGTTTTCTAGTTGTTTTATCTCGTGCTCTTCCGCAGTAGTAACAGCGCCCTCTTGCTCCTCTTCGATCTCTTTGTTCAACTACAGAAGTTGAGGGTTCCAAACCCAGTAATACCATTGACCTGCGGCGAAGTTCCCGTGGAATTTGTGAAATGAAAGCTCTTCGTTTTATTTGTGGTGTCAACATATCCCATGCTAAGCTTTGCAAGAATTCAGTTCGGCGTAATTTTCCCTCGATTTGTTTGTTGAGCTTA